ATTTTGTGGTTTTTTAATGTGATAAATGGGGTTCATTTGGTCAGTTCTGTATTCCCTGTAATTTCTATTCAGGCAAACCAGCTGGAGGTCTTTGGAATATACCATTGTTCCAAAGACTGAAGGGGGGGAACTTTATTTTTTTAAGTTGACCTTTTTGTTATTTTGTACGGTAATAATAATAATAATAATAATAATAATAATAATAATAATAATAATAATAATAATAATAATAATGATAATAATAATAATAATAATAATAATCTTTATTTGTAGTGCACTTTTAAAAAAACTAGATACAAAGTGCTTTAACAAGTGTAAATACAATACTACCCAAGAGACAATAATACAAATACAATACAAGATATAAACATGTAAAACATTGAAAAGACTAAAACACACGTTTAAGATAAATATAGAATTAGTCAAATACAATCAAACAAACCTATTTAAACTTAAATGTGTTTATTAAAAGTGGCCATTGGAACTTCTGGAACTCACAATATTTCACATTTTGTGTTTTTGTTAACGTGATGAATGGGGTTAATTTGTATTGACATTTGACCCTTTTTCAACCACTTTGACAAAATCAAACTGAATCTTTTCTAATTTGAGTACAGGTTTAGTCCTGGTTTGAGTTTTCAGCTGCTCCTGTGTGCGTTTTCTCTCCTTAAAACAAACTGAGCTGCAATTCAAACCGGACAGCTGCGCAAACAGGCCAACATTAAGCACTCAGGTGCCCCCCCCCCTCAGGGTGACCAACGACGCCCGTGAGGACGAGATGGAGGAGAACCTGACGCAGGTGGGCAGCATGCTGGGGAACCTGAAGAGCATGGCTCTGGACATCGGAAACGAGCTGGAGACCCAGAGCGACCAGCTCAGCCGCATCAAGAACCAGGTGGGGTTAGGGTTAGGGTTAGGGTTAGGGTTAGGGTTAGGGTTAGGGTTAGGGAGTAACGGATGACATGTAACGACGTTACGTAATTTAATTACAAAAAGAGAGTAACTGTCATTCGTTACAGTTACAATGAGAAAATATGTAATTCAGTTACAGTTACTTCCGAAAATATTAAGAATTACAAATTTAGTAGCATTTTTTAAAAAATATAAAGAAAAACCTTTGCAAAATATGCAGCTCACTGATAGACGAAGCGTATTGATTTACTAATATTTGACTGTTTGGTGTTGATGCATGACAAACGTTTATCGATGTCAATGACCTAGCCTAGCCTAGCCTACCTAGCCTAGCCAACTGTAGGTGACCAGACGTCCTCTTTTTCCCGGACATGTCCTACATTTCAGACTAGGGTTGTCAAAAGCATCGATACTTAAAAAAGTATAGATACTAAAATGTTGTATCCGGATACGACTGACCTGCCGTCGCTTGTCTCCGATTTATTTATGTATTTATTTACGTTGTTTATGATCATTAACAAGACGTTAGCCTTGAACTGCTAGCTTCGGCCAATAGCTAATAATAACGTGTTAAAATTAATCATGGGTCAATATGCATTAAAACCTTAAAGTAATCAAAAAGTAATTAGTTACATTACTTTTTAAAAGTAATCGAAAAAGTTACACTACAATTACATTTTAAACAAGGTAACTTGTAACTGTAACGGATTACATTTTTAAAGTAACTTACCCAACACTGGTTAGGGTTAGGGTTAGGGTTAGGGTTAGGACGAGGGGTGGAGGAGGAGGGTAGGATGCTGGGAGGGAGGGGGGGTCTGTGGGGCGGTTTGGACCGACCAGATGATTTAGTTAAAGATGGTTTTGCTTTATTTGTTAGGTTTTTTTTGTCATTTTTTTGGTTTGTTGTACTTCTATTATGTTGCCCCCCCCCCTCATGAAGAGAATAGAATAGAATAGAATAGAGTAGAATATATGGTCTCCAATGTCTCCATTTCATTTGTATTTTATTGTAGTCATTGTTGTTAAACCTATATTGAGTTTTAGATTTATTTGCTTAATTTGTTAGGTTTTTATTTGTTGGTTTGTTGTACTTCTATTACGTTGTACCCCCCCTCATTAATAGAATAGAATAGAATATGTGGTCTCCAATGCTTGGTAAATTTATTTAATTGTAGTTATTGATTTTAGACATATATGGACTTAAAGTTAAAGATGGTTTTGCTTTATTTGTTACGTTTTGTTTTAATTTTTTTGGTTTGTCTCCTATTATGTTCCCCCTCATGTATAGAATAGATATAATTTTTAAAATCAAGCCTAACCTTTAAAAAGTCGAAACCTTTAAACCAAACGATCCGAACATCGACCCAAACCAAAGAGTTTTAGGACGAGGCAGCATTTCATTTCCATTTTGCACAAATTTTTGTGTTTTTGGCACATTAAAAAAAGTGAAATTACAGCTGAAATAAAGGAAACTGGAGCTGAAAGTCGCCCTTTTTCTGTCGGCCAGCCTCTCATCCCACTTCCTGTTTCCTCTCTTCTTCTTCTTCTCCCTCTTTCTCTGCAGGCTGAGCTCAACATGACCCGCATCGGCGCCGCCAACCAGAAAGCGAACAGCCTCATGAAGCGATAGCAGCGTCTCTCGTTTTCCCATCAAACGATGTTTCTGTGTGTGCTTTTTGTCTTTTCTAACCCAAATCCGGGTTCTTTTTTTTACCTGCTATCCATAATAGAGAGCTAATGGGGCCTTCTGGGGCTTTATTTCCGAATCATTTTTACATGTTTATCTTCGTCTTATAATAGGGAGCCATGTTTTGTTTTATAAATACTTTAGCTGTAGGGCCTTGGTGACCTCTGACCTCTCAGACATCAGGAAGAAGTCGACTGTAATGATCCTTACAGGGGAAAAGTCGCCTTTTTTCCTCAGTGTGATGGTCTCTAAGTGTGCAAATCATGGTTAGAATACTAAAAAAAGGACCCAAAACAATCATAACTAGCTCACTTCCCAGTTTAAGACCTCAACCAGCCTCAAAAACCGTTTTTCCCCCGAGTTTTCGGGTATAAACTGGTGCGGGTGGCGCCCTCTGCAGGCGCCCAGCGGTACTGCACCCGGAGGGGGATCTCTGGCGCCACCAAGCGGACACTTCCGGAACATGTTTCTGCTACCCTCCATGTTTTTTTCCTCCACCCCACGTGGGCCCGTGTTTCTACCCCCCCACTCCCCCCCTTGCTGGTGCATCTGAGGATCTGGGTCCCATTATGACAATTTAGGCCGTTAGATTGGTGAACATGGCTCAGTTTTAGCGTGAAGCTGTGCTAAAATTAGGACTTTTGTGGTAAATAACGTGTTAATACTAATAAAAACGAGCACACGTGAAGGTCTCTGCTGACCTATAGGGTTTTTAAGACAATCAACGTTCAAAACAAGCATGTAAATGTGTTTTTTTGTGATAAGATGCTGATATATTAAGTTGTAAACAAATAAAAGTGAGCAAAAAATGCGATTTCTGTGAGTTTGTGCAACTTTTAGGAGTTCAGTGTTCGTGTGATCAGCAGTTTTGTTCAATAAAAAGCGGAGTAATTAGTGATTTGAGCGAAAATTCGTGATTTTTGCGGAGGATTTGTAGGAAACTCGGGTGCTTGGTGACAACCGTTGCCAGGACACAGGGGGGCGCACGCGAACGTTGCGCGTTCTAGGAAGGAAAAAGAAAAATCTCACGC